CTTCGAAATAAGCGTTTGAAACATTTAAATATTGCGTGCTAGGTGTTGCTTGCCATTTTGAAGCTCTTTCGCGTCCCGGACGCTGAAATATTTCCGGATTCAAGCGAAGATATTCACGTTAAAAATATTCAAATATAGACGACTTTCCTAAACATTGGCAATCAGATGCGAATACTTGCTTACGTTGCTTGCATCATTGTAAATGAACAAATAAGAAACTTGTCTAACTGAAAAATCTCTCCAAATGGCTCGTCATTAATTACTTCTATATTTCTTAACATTCCCATATAATCTTAACATTCTCTTCCTCTTCCCGCTAAATTATTCATTCGAAAATTGATTCGCTCGTAAGAGCGAACATCGTTCGAAAGTTTACAAGTTTCGAAATCCAAGATTTGCCGGATTTGCGGAGGACGACGACGTAAATTCCTCAAAGAAATCTGACGTGAAAGCGATTTCACTCGATCGGCGGGGAACGGAAGTTAACTGTGAAATAAAACTTGCGAACGTCCTCGATCAGTTGCGTGTCGCGGCGACGAACTGTTTCCCTCGTGAAAATTACCGGCAGAAATTCAAACAACCGTTTCTCTCGCAGATGATTCGATGGGATTTTCTTCTGCGCGGAAAGTTTATAAAAAAAAAAGAGGAAGAAAGACAACGCAACGTTGTCTCGCGCGAAAGACAGAGAGAGTTAACGACGCAAAGCTTTTAGCAGCGAGGATAAGAAAACAGATCCACAACTGGCAATTCAGACGGAATCGAAATCCATTGCTCCCGTTTTTCTTTTTTTTTTTTTTTTTTTTTTTTTTTGCAGGAGTGATAAATCCGTTTCTGACGGATTTTGCGGTGCAAAAGGTTTTGTTGCGATGCAATCTTTTGGTAGAAATGGGGCACGTTGGCGGAACGTTTATGTTACCTCGTAATAGATTGTTTGAAGATTGTAATATATTGTTGCGATGTATCGTACTGTTAAGATTACGAGAATTGTATCGTATTCGTTACAACGTTCCTTACCATTTAAAATCATGTTAGGGAGACTTTCAGTCTATTATGAATTTTTGAGGAAGGTTCTATTAAGTTAAATAAGAAAAATTAATTAATCAATCCTCGTAACAAATTGTTGCCTAGATTGTAAGAAGGACTACAAGCAATTGCATTGCATTCGTTGTAACGTACCTGTATCCTACAAAATCATTAGGATTAGATTGGATCAGATAATCTTTCTACTATAAATTTCACGAAAGTTACATTAAGAAGTTAAAAAGGAAAAAAAAAAGAATTAATCAATTAAATTAGATTATTTTACTGCTTTTAGTAGTCTACCATTTAGAGAAAGAAATTCAAAGAAAATTAATTATGTCAGGAAAATATGAAACGTAGAATCTAATGAAAAGACGTTTCATTGGAAAATAACTTCTGGCGATGAGTTTCCTTTTTAACCATGAAAACTGCAAAATACAGGTTAATTCATATTTTCTGCGTCGCTCTAGAAAAAAAAAAGCATCCAACAAGAAAGAACATAATCACAATATGTATTTTATTTGAATTATTGCTTTAAACAACCATCGAGCAACTAAACAATTCAAGCAATTTACGTTCAAATATTAATAGAATATAATAAACATCCCAATTCGAATTAATATTTCCGATCATTTGGCAATTTATGGACTTGCACCAGATATTCGCCAATTCGCAAACAAATTCAGTTCACGCGATTGTACGAAATGACGGCTTGCAGATCGATACGAACGTAGGATGACGAACGATCATTACGAAATGAAGGGTAGCCATAACAGTTTAAGGGATGGGGGGGGCAGCATCGTGCAAGAAAACTGCGGATAACGGTCGTTTGTGAAATTCGTTCTAAGGAACGTCGGGGTCCGGCGAATTCACTGCCAGATTATACGAGTGACGATCCACGGAGAATAGAAATATGTACGAGAGCCAGCTACGGATGAGGGAAGAAGAGAAATGAGGATTTACCTTAAGTGTATCCTGCAGGTTTTGTACTCTGCAGTGCATGTATACGTGAGCACCGAGTTGCACGGTAATGTTGCTCTCTGGATCTTCGAAAAAGGGCCTCGGCTCCGGAGTGCCGCCCGCTTCTGTTGCGAAACTTTCCACCTCGTATACCTGTAAATCAAAAGAGGAACGTTTCGTGAATCTCTCGTCTCTCGTTTTCCTTTCCTCTCTCTCTCTCTCTCT